CCAGCATTTGTGCCACTTGGCTAATGTTTGGTGTTGTTAGAACGATTCATCAGCAAAGCGGAGGTGGTGTAGTTGCCGACCATCTATCTTACTCCCATTCCTTCCCATTCCACTTGTCACATGACATTCTCTAGGATGGCACTGAAGAGTTTTGTAAAATTGTATTACCATGCAGAACCCCTCTCTTAACATGAATGATCACTTCCTTGTAGAATGGTGAGATCCTGATAGTGAATCCGTAATACAGCTCACGGAGGATCCTGATGTATTGAGCTTGAACACCCTGTTTGGCTAGTGCTTCGATGACCAACTTCATCTCAACAGAATCAAAGGCCTTCTTTGAATCAATGAACATTAGAAGGAGTGACATCTTGAACTCCTGAGAAACCTTAATGGCCTTAAGTACCAGGTGGATATGGTCGATCATGCTGAATCCGTTTTGGAACCCAGCTTCCTCACATGGTTTTCCTTCATCTAGTGTTCTTCCAATCCTATTCAGGATGACTCAAGTTAACAGCTTGTAGACGACAGACAACAGGCAGATTGGGCGATAGTTGCCAATGTCATGGATGTCTCCCTTCTTGTACAGTAGTACAGTCCTGCTGGTTTTCCATTGGGACGGAACTTTGCATTCAGACAGGTAGCATGTGAAGAGCTGAGCCAGTGTACTGATGAGTACTGATGGCAGGTTCTTCAGGTGTTTAGGTCTGACCTTGTCTGAGCTGAGTGTTGTTTGCTTCTTTACCGACAAAATGGTGTGTCGGATTTCAGAAGGGAGGACATATTCGATATGCCAGAAACGGTAATTATAGTAAATTATCCAAAATAAGCAGCAATTATTTAACCTGAGATATTTCACCTTAGGCTATTTATCCAAAGAATAAAATAGGAATAAGATATCTTGCTGTAAACAATCTTAAGTTGGAGTTAATTTCACACTTGTTCTGCTGTAACCTTGCTGGGCATATTTCTACCTCACGACCTTTATACTGACTGATTTCCCTGAAAAAATTTAAGTGGGAAGTTTTCTGCTGAAGCTCTAGGATTTAGCAAAGTGCAAATGTTTTTTAATAAATATTCACTAACATACAGAATGCTCTTAATATTATTATTCTTTTTATTTCACAGTGTCTGACTGATAGACAATGGTGCAACCAGGGCTGGAATCCAATTGATAGGCATGACAACCTACCCAATAAATTACATATCTAAGTCCAAGCATGACAATTAATGCTATGCTTTCTCATATCTTGAATAGCTTCCTGAAGTTGACTTGAATTATCATAAAATAAAGATATAGAAAATGTTTTATACTAAGGTTGAATAGTTTCTGTTAATTATGGAAAGTATTAAGTAACTGTACCCTCCTTTATTAAAGGAGAATACGGTTACACTTATTTTGAGGTTTAATAGATATAGGTACATATATGTATGTACCTATATCTTTTACTTAAGCAAATTATAGAAAACTATGATTAGAATAATGGAAGGAAGCATAACATAATTGAAGTGCTTTCTGTTTCCATCCACCTATCATGTTATTTTGGTAAATCTTTACTATTTGGGGAGAAATGATTTATCATCATGGTGCTCTGGAATCTAAGCACCCTCTCAGATATGTTTGGTCCACCAGCCTGGCAGTTCTATGCAAGGGATTAAGGAACTGGCATGCTTGTGCCATGTGTTAATAGGGACTACCCAGGCCACCCGGTGTTGCTATGGACCTCCAGGGGACTGACTGGAGCAGTGGTCATAGGAATATGTGATGCAAGGGAGCCAAACAGGGTAGCCTCATACAAAGCATGTCCCTAAATTCTTATACTGTCTGGCTGGTTCCCTTATGTATTCTTAAATGATACAATGCTTGAAAAAATAATTACTCTACTTCCCGATTAACAGTAATTTCAATATTTGTTAACCTCAACACTCACTATTCTGTGTCATATATGGATTTTTGCCTGTCATTTAGAGAAGGCTGGCTACACTTGTATAATGAAATACACTACCTTAAAAATGCTTTATAGGACACGCATACACACAAGATTAAATCCTAACACTGCAAGAATCATTGCTACTGCTGCCTTTTCCAATTATTACTTTTATGCATTATTTCTCCCCTTTAAGTGCTGGCAAATAGAGATATATGGCATTTATAAAAGTACTAAGACATGTAATGGATAGATTTAGAACTCTAATCCAAAAAGCACCCATTTTCCCTTGCTTCATTGGCTGAAAAATGATGAATCCTTCCTAATTACTGCACAAACTCTGAAAGAACAACAAAGGGTTGACTAAGAGGATAAAAAGGGGGAAAGATAATCAAATAAGGATTTATTTTTAAATCCTGGGTCTTCAAAGTTTTCATTGTGGCACAGCCTCACATAAGAATAAATAGGCAAATTATTGGCTCTCAGAATTCTTAAAAGCCTGAGGTATTTAAATAGCCAAAACAGCTAAAAATATTTAAGGAACCTGAAGGATTTAAAGCAATTAACTCAACTGAAAAAAAATTAAAAATCCTCAATAAATTTCTTCTTTTATTATAAGAACATGTGAAGTAAAATTTTTATATATCCAATTGATGCAACATTTGCATGATTTTAACCATATCAAAATAATCTTCAGTGTTGGAATATATGTGATACAGTAAAGAAAAGTGCAGTAGATACACTTCTTTCTCTGTTTTACACAAAACAATCTTATTTCAGAATCATTTCTCCTCATATTTTTGAGAACATGTGTCTCAAATAGCAATCAAAGACCAATGCACAAATACAGAAACTGGTAATATCTATGACAAAGTTTGGGAACAATGGCAAGAGGAGCATTGATTCATACATATTAATTGTGAGAACATAATTAAATGTTAAAATATGGTCTCCAGATATAATTATATGTGCTTTCAAACATTTATTCTTATGATTTAAATTATCTTCTTTGTAATATTTTGGGTAATATCAAGTCTCACAATGGAGATGTTACTGGTGCCTGCTTGAGCAAATCGAGGAACAATGTCCTCCACAATGCTACCTGCTACAGTAATATTTTGGATAAAGAAATAAATACAAGGGGAATTTATCAATCCTTTGTTTATAAATCCATGAGTCTGTTTAACAAATATTTCAAATTTTGCTTTCATTTGTTTATTTCTTTTTTTTGTTGCTCAGGGTCTACTGGCTCTGCATTCAGGAGAGGTGCTCAGGGGATCTTATGGGGACCAGAAATAAAACCTAGGTCGGCTGCATGCATGGCTAATACCCTCACCACTGTAATATCTCTCTGTCCACTTTTGCTTTTAATTTACTACTCAGACTTTGGTTTTAGTTTAAAACAAAATTAAAAAATTATAATTAGATTTAAATTAAATGATAAAAAGTACACAGTTTACTATTTCATTACATTTTACTATTCTATTTCAGTCCATCTTATTTTGCTGTATTGGTGGAATAATGCAATATAGCCTTTGCAAAACCCTCGCTCCAAAAAGCAATGATCGTTTTGCCAAATTAAACATTATCTGACAGTCTTGGCTATTGTGAATATCTCTGTAATTAACATAAGGTGCAACTATAATTTAAAATTAACATTTGGGGGATCCTGAATGTAGATGCCAAGAAGAAAAATTCTGCATCAGATAGCAATTTAATTCTTAGCTAGAAGGTGGGAGGTGTGTGGCAGTGTGTTAGGATTACAACTAGCTGTACTCTGGGTGTACTTCTGGCTCTTTATTCAGGGGTCATTCTGAAGGTGTTGAGAGAATATATGTGAATCAAACAGATTGGTGGCATGCATGGCAAGGACCTTATTGCTGTAGAGTTTTTTGGTTTCTCAGTTCTTAATTTCTTGCTGGGGCACCACATCCAGCTATGCCAGGACTGACTCTTAGCTCTGCACTCAGGAATCACTGCTGGGGGCGGGGGGCTTGGGGTACCATCTGGGTTGTCGTGGATCGGAATCACATGGTCTGCATGCAAAGCAAACATTCTACGTGCTCTGCTGTCACTCTGGACCTTCAGTCCTTAAGTTATGAGAAGTCTCCATACTATTTTCCATGAATGCTGAATGAAATGAAACTATATGTTAAATAGACACACTTAGTATATCTGTGTACAATCAGTATATCTTCTTTATTTGATGGCTTTGCAGTCATTTTCCATTTTTTAAGATTTGTAAGTGCTTTTCCTTATTTCATTCTCCTGGGGTGTGGGTTCTGGGATCACTCCTGGTGGTGTCACAGGACAATATGTGATTCTGAGGATGAACCCAGGTTGGCTGAGTGCAAAATTGGTCTTCACCCACTGTACTATCACTGATCCCCAACAAGTATTCAGAAATAACCAAGTGCCAATAACAGAAGAAAAGATAAAAATTGTGACATCTGGGTTGGGGAGAGAGCACAGAGGGTAGTGCTATTCTGGGAATCCCAAACAGTGCTCCTCTCTCTGTTGGAAGCTGCCTTCATCAGGCGCCTGTCCCAGTGGGGGAACCACCTGGGGAATTAGCTTAGGGAGGTGGCATGGAAAAGTTGCAGGCTGCTGGTGGCACTTCTGGTGGCAGAAACTCAGATTCATGATTTTTAAGCATGGAATTTATTGACTTTATAGATTATGAGTCTTAAAGAAAAATAAATGTAATAGATAATTTCTCAAGCTTGAAAATTTATCTAGAGATGAGTCTGCTTGTATAATCCATGCAGATAGAATTATATAAATTTAAAACATGACCTTTAGGGAAATTACTGCAGTAATTCCCTACAAGGTAAGAATGTGTATTCAGAAGATATCCATCTTTATCATTACTGCCTTAAAAAGAAATTAGATGACAGAAATATTAAATTTAAAATTATTTATATTATATCTTGCCGTTCATCTATGGTTTAATTTGGGGGGTTAAGTAGTTCATAGAAAGACGGTGATTATAACTTTAATGCCCTAATTATGCTGTACTATAATAGAACTGTATACATTGCTTAGTAATTGAATAATGTTTTCTCTCTGAAGGCAATGGATCGAGAGGGGGACCCAATAACATATGCCATTGAGAATGGAGATCCTCAAAGAGTTTTTAATCTTTCAGAAACGTGAGTTTAAAATGATTTATAAATTGATTTTTTTCACCTTTAATATGTCAAACAACGTACTGGTAGCATGGAAATAGACGTTTAATTAGAGGCTTTCAGTCATTTGCACTTTTATTTTACTATTTTTTCATGAATATTAATGAGAGCTAGGGGGAAGACTAGATAATTCTGAATCCAGAAAACTTACCCAGGAGACTATTTATTTATTTTGAGCAACCTCTTTAGGTAAAATTCACTGAGGTGGAAACATTTCATTCCCTGGCATAACTTGGGATTAATTAGATCTTTTTAAACTTGTCATGTAGTGATAATAATAAGGGCTTTCAGCAAAGAGTAACTCAGCACTCAATTCAATGGGAATTTTGCAAGGCAAAGTGCAATTCAAGCACATTCATGTTGTCATCAAAGTTTATCCTTGAATCCATGATTGTTGTATATTCTAAAAACACAAATGATTGCACTTCCATACTACATCTTTGAGGTCTTTATCAGTACCATTCTATTCACCTATCTTAACATGCACTGTAGCACTGTCATCCCATTGTTCATGGATTTGCTCGAGCGGGCACCAGTAACATCTCCATTCATATCTGTCACATGCTAGTGTAGCCCAAAGGCATCTGCTCACTCCAGGAACATGAAGTGAAACTTGCTATTACTGTTTATGACATATCGAATATGCCACGGGGAGCTTGCCAGGCTTTGCTGTGTGGGCGGGATATTCTCAGTAGTTTGCCCGGCTCTCCGAGAGGGATGGAGGAATCCAACCCAGGTTGGCAGCATGCAAGGCGATTGCCTTACCCACTGTGCTATCACCCCAGCCCTATCTTAACATACCAGAGATATTGTTCATAATTACTCAGAAAGCTGGGAGTAAGCGTTTAAAAAGAACAAGATTTCTGGGTAGAATGTTTGTTTCCTCTTTGCCCTAGCAAAGCAGCTTTCTGCTATCATGAGTGGCAGGATATTAAAGGTTTTGTTGTTACTTCTGTGACACTTGCTATTTGGCCATAAATGGTTTGTTACCTGTATGTAAACATTGCCTTGGCTCATGATTATGAAGTAACACATTGACAAATGAGCGAGACACCGCATCTTAGAATACCTTCGGTTTCACACTGAGTGGGTGTTACAACTGTAATTTAGTATTGGCTGAAAACAATATTTCCCAGACTTTTTGTTTTCACAGATGCATAATTTCCATTTAAATAATGGAAAGACAGCATTCTAAATCCCCTCCACCGGTACGTATTAATCCTAAATTAGCTAAAATTTACAATCATCTGAATAAAAAGAAAAGTTTTTTTTCAATTCAGTACTTTAATGATAATCCAGTCTCAAATATGAATAGAATCATAGAACACTAAAATCTGTATAATATTTTAAAAATTGCCTCACATTTGAACTCTTGATTTGCTAAAGAGGGTCAAGCCAATATAAATAAGGAAACAAAATGCACTCAATAAGTGTAGATAGTGCAGCATACAAAAATAAAGTTACATCTGATTTTACATCATTCACAAAATCAACTCTAAGTTGCTCACAAATCTAAAAGTTTCAGATAAAGCATTACAATATTAATGAGATATGCAGAAGCAAACCTTTTTGATTTTTACTAGGGAGTATTAAGTATGATACTAAAAACATAAGTAATTAATAAGAAAATTAACTTGGATTTCTTCAAATTAGAAAATTAAAATGTGTGTCAAAGGACACAGGGCTGGAGTGATAGCACAGCGGTAGGGCGTTTGCCTTGCGCGCAGCCAGTCCAGCCAGCCGGGTTCAATTCCTCCGCCCCTCTCAGAGAGGCTGGTAAGCTACCGAGAGTATCTTGCCCGCATGGCAAAGTCTGGCAAGCTACCCATGATGTATTTGTATGCCAAGCACAGTAATAACAAAGTCTCACAATGGAGACGTTACTGGGCCCACTCTAGCAAATTGATGAACAATGGGAGGACAGTGGCAGTGACAGTGATAATATTTCTAGCAATGTCATTTTGTATGAGCACAGTGAGAGATATATCAAGCTCAAAGTTTGGCTCTACCTGGGGAACAAATCACTATATATTCCAGAACACAGTCCTCAGGCCAGGTTAGTCTTTCCTAACCCCAGCAGGATCCTTATTCAGTTACCTATTTTTTGGGTCATGACAGAGTTTGTCCATGAACATGCTCTTAACTTATAGTAAGTATTATGGTGCTTGGCCTGGCCCATTTTGATGCCAGGGAAGCTCACAGCTTGCCCTGGGTCCATTAGTCCCTTATTGGTACCATACTCTTGGAGTGCTAGGAACTAAGGGAAACTGAGGCTTAAGTCAAGTAAATATGGATGCCCGGGAGTAAATATAATTTAGGAGCCAGTTAGCTTCATGTTACATAGCATAGCATCAACTCTCTTCCTGTGTCTATACAAAAAGAACATTGCTAAATAAATGATAAAAATGGCATAAGGGAAAGAGAAGAGCAATTTAGGACTATTGGTGCCTGATAAAATTGGGTGTGCCTCAGTTGCACTGTTGTGAGAGTGCCTCGATAAAATTTAATCTCCCTGCGGGAGCAACAAAGACAACCCAATGTTATCCAGCATCATATATTTGAATTCATATCTCATGCATTTTATTATGTTTTTATGCTAAATAAAATGTAGACATGTACTGTTTGCTTTAATCACTATAGTGTTTTATGCTACAATGCAAATTCTGGCAGTAAATGTTCTTGAAACTTCTTTATTTTGACTTCTTCAATTAAAGGAGTGATAACACAGTGGTAGGGCGTTCGCCTTACAAGCGGTCAACATGGCCGGCCCGAGTTCGATTCCTCCGCCCCTCTCGGAGAGCCCGGCAAGCTACCGAGAGTATTTGATATGCCAAACACAGTAACAACAAAGTCTCCAATGGAGACATTACTGGGCCCGCTCGAGCAAATCGATGATCAACGGGAGGGCCTTTACCTTTTACCTTTACCTTCAATTAAAATGGGCTGGAGTGACAGCACAGTGGTAGGTATTTGCCTTGCATGCAGTCAACATGGCCGACTCAGGTTCGATTCGTCCACCTCTCTCGGAGAGCCCGGCAAGCTACCAAGAGTATCTCACCCGCACGGCAAAGCCTGGCAAGCTACCCGTGACGTGTTCAATATGACAAACACAGTAACAAGTCTCACAATGGAGACGTTACTGGGCCTGCTCGAGCAAATCGATGAACAACGGGAGGACTATGACATGACAATTAAAATAAAATTTTCCCCCAAATTATCTGTTCTGTAATAAATTTAAATATTCACTTGATCACTTGACATCCCGTTACTTATCGATTTGCTCAAGCGGGCACCAGTAACATCTCCATCCATCCCTGTTCCGTGTCAGAGTAGCCCAATGGCATTGCTCACTCCAGGAACATGGAGAGCCTCAAACCAATTGTTCGGGATCTTGATGAAGAAGCCTGACTATCTCTTAGGTGGGCAGCCACGAGATCTTTTGACGTCCTATGGAATCCAGTCGGCAATGTCTCTAGTCCAGTGGTTGTCTCCAGATCGCATGTGTTCATGTGATGTGATTTTCAACACCTTGGCAAATGATACAGCTTCCCTGGTTCTCGATTGTCCACTGAGGTTGCAACTCTGGATTCTTTCTTTCACTTGAGAGAAGCCTGATACTCCAAGCATAGCTTTTTCAATTCCTCTTTGGGAGACCCGAATAGTGTTCTCATCCTGTTTTCATAGGCCCAGATCCCTGAGGTGTATTTTAATGCAGGAAAAATGGTGGCATCAAAGAGATGTCCCTGGAGCTAGAGGTTTTTCATCCTCTTAGCTATTTCTTCAATGCTCTTGAAGGCGTTCCAAGCCACTCTCTTCCTACTGCGCAACTCAGGTGTCATATCATTTGTCATGTTGAGTTCTTGACCTAGGTACATATAGCTGGTGCATTTGGAGATGTTCATTCTGTTGAGAGCAAATGGAATGTCAAAAATGAGTCAGTTTCTCATGAACATTGTCTTCAAGAGATTCAGCTGTAGTCCAACTTTTCCACACTAATGGTCAAAGTCGGCCAGCATTTGTGCCACTTGGCTAATGTTTGGTGTTATTGGAATGATGTCATCAGTGAAGCGGAGGTGGTGTAGTTGTCGAACATCTATCTTCACTCCCATTCCTTTCCATTCCAGACGTCGCATGATGTTCTCGAGTGTGACACTGAAGAGTTTCCATGATATGGTATCACCCTGCAGAATTCCTCTCTTGACATGTATGATCACTTCCTTGTAGAATGGTGGTGAATTCATCCTGGTGGTGAATCCGTAGTACAGCTCACAGAGGATTCTGATGTATTGAGTTTGAATGCCCTGTTTGGCTAGGGCTTCAATGACCGCTTCCGTCTCAACAGAATCAAAGGCCTTCTTTAAATTAATGAACATTAGACAGAGCGGAATCTTGAACTCCCGAGAAACCTCAATGAGCTTGGATAACATGTGGATATGGTCGATAATGCTCAATTCTTTTGGGAACACCTGGGACAGGGCCCGGGAGGTGCAAGTCTGGCTCTGCAGTCTCTGGCCCAGTAGTTTCCCTTCTCATACCTGGGAAAGGGCCCAGGAGGTGCTCTCACAATAGTATGTTTGGGAGGTGCCCTGCAGTCCTTACAAAAGTGGCCTGGTTTTCCACAATTAAAACATCTTATTTATTTATTTATTTATTTATTTATTGAATCACTGTGGGAAAGGTTACAAAGCTTTCAGGTTTAGGTCTCAGTCATGCAAATATCAAACACATTTCCCTTTACCAATACTTATTTTTTACCATGAAGAACCCCAATAAAACCCCACCCCCCACCCCTCCCGGTCCCTGTGAGGCAGATGAATTCTAGTTAACACTCTATCTGCTTTGATTAGATTCATTGTTTCAATAAAAGATTCACCACTATTATTTAGAGTTTACCCCCCCCCCCCAAATCAGACATGCTGAAAAAGCATTGTGAAGTGATTTGCTTTCTACAGCTGGGTTCAAGA